GTGCTCAAACAAGCATTGGCCACTTACAAGCTGCTGAGGTGACGCCAAAGCTACGGCTGGGGATCACAAGCCGCTCATGTTACACAGCCTGTGGCTTCCCCAGGATGTATTGCTCCTTGTCATCCCTATCATCACACCCCAGCTCTTGGCAGTTGGTGACCACAGCCTGCGACGTTGGCTGATCCCAGTGGCTGAGATTAGTCGCATCTCGCTAAACTTCACACAAACCCAAGGTGGACTCCACAAGCCTTGACGGAGATGCAATAGCAGAGGTGTGCAGTGAGGTCTCCAATGACTAAGACTTCATTATTTTTTACAAATTATACTGCAGGATATTTATCCATGCATTATGATGATTTAGCATAAATAATTAAAACAGAATTTGTATTGGCGAACACACAAGCAAAGGGCACTTGCTAATGGACCAGGCTTGCTCTGATGCTCTGGGGATTCACTTTGAGATGTGTCCATAGCAAACAGACCAAGGAAGGGTTCATATTTGTCCTTCTTTTTACCCCAATCCTGTTTCTATCTCACCCCAGATGGCTGACCGAGGCTGGTGGATCAGCACATCTTACAGAGCATCTCCCGAAGGGTGAACAAGGAAAATAACTGAAAGTCCCCACACCTTCAACCTGTTCCTCAAGTCCTGCAACGCTCTTTTCTGCAAATAATCCACCTATAATCAGTCATGCAAGAGGTGCTCGCTGGTGCTTCCCAGAAATACTGATGATTTGATGGATCGCATGACCCTGCCTCCTCTTTTTATTCCAGGTATTAAGTGGTAAAGAAAGAAGATTGCATGGCAAATATGGAAGAGTTTTAAAGTGTTCCCCATGGTTTCCCTCTCTCATCAGCAAGTACACAATGGTGATCTACACCAGCAGAGTACAGCCAATATTGCACACTTCCCCAGAAAAGAAAATCTAATCCCAAGCCTTTTTGTAGTCTTATTTTTCCATTAAAGGCTGCAGTTGTCTCAGAGGATGGTATGAAAATAAGAATATCTCCTAGCTACCTCTCCTTCAGCCTCTCTTTTCTTTAAATCAGGTTGAAAATTTTCCACAAATTGCAATTGCAAACTCGATCTGTATTTTGTTACCTTTCTGGACTCTGTCCATTATCTACCAAATATTTTGTACTTACAATTAAAAATAAGCTTGAAAATCTTACTTGTTTTTAATTTTTCATTAGATTCATTTATGCTTCTCTGCATAAATGAAGCATTTGGATAGCTCATGGAGGCAAACAGGTCACGAGTCAGTCTCCCTGGCCAAAGTACCCATCCCACGAGGAACAACTGTGGGGGTTTCCTGCAATATATTGCGCTGCTCAACACAAAGGAAAATACAGTACATCACAGGAACAGCAGTTATACCTACTGGGAAACTAGCTCAGAAAAGAGCAGTTGTAGCCTGACCTGCAACCTCCAAGAGACATTTCCAAAGTAAAAAACCTCAAAGTTTAAATCAGATTTTAAAATTATTTTTTTTTTTAACTGAAAGTGTTCAGTAGGAATTTAGCTATACAGATGTGAAATTTTTCACAGGAAAATCAATTTTCTTTTACCAACTATGCCATGAAGTCTGTGAACCCTAGTCTCCTATCAGAGGGGAACTTCATGGGTGTTATGTACATCTCCCGTGTAGCAGAGATGCCAGAGAAAAATGTTTTCAGATGGTGAAGAAAACAGAGTCAGCCTCTTTAGGACCAAATCACCTTTCTCTTTGCTGTAAGGATAGGCTTGGACAAACTCACTTGCACAGAACAAGGAAGGAGGAAGACTCACAAGGAAAATATGTCACTTTCCGTAAATCAGTGCCAGTGAAAGCTGAACACTAAAATTGCCATCAGGAATTTCTCCCTTTCTCCCTGGCATTTTTGTCCCTAGGGCTTGGCAGGGCCTGATCATGTTTACAATTTCTCATTGAATTATGTTGATAGATTGAATCATTTCAGCAGATCTAACCCCACCTAAACTAAAGTGAGCGTTTACCGCACCACTGTGTCAATCCTTATTTATGTGTACATTATAACAATGAGATACACAAAGGATCATGACTCCTTTGCAGCCATATGGGCACCATTGTACAATTTAATGAGTTCCCATCTGTTAAAAGTTCTGGTATCCAAAGCTTTTACAAAGACCTTTGCAAAGCCCCTTCCTGCCCCTACACACCACCCTCCGTCCGTCCTGGAATTTGCAACCCTCTTCCATCAGCAGCTTTCCACATCCTAAATCCTGGAATATACACAGAGCCGGAGACTTTTGCATCATCTCTTTGTTAAACACCTCTGAATGTTTGGATCTATAAGGAATCCATCACATCCACCCATGCTGCAATCCCTTTTACCCTCAGCTGTTTAGTCTCTGTTTTTTTTTGCATATGAGAGCAACATTCTTACTCCTAGTTTTGGTTGCATGGTATTTATTGCAGTTATTCAGAAGACTGAGACAAGGCGTAACGTTATTAAGATAAATGGGACTTTTCTTGAAAATTAAAACAGCATCTAATTTGTATATTTTATGGAAAGGCTGGCAATCTCTCACCTACCCAAGGGAAAGTGTAAACTGTTCTAGTGTGAAAAGAAGCACTGGGCGGCTGCTGGGATGGCGCTATGCAGTGTCACAGCAGCACCTCCAACATGAGAGACTCCTTTTCAGAATGAAAAAGGTTAAAAAAAAATTAATTTGAAAGCAAGAACAAAGATTCTGGATATCAACTAAGGTGTTGCTTCCCCACAGCACTGCTTCTGCTCTCAAGCAGGTCATCATTCTCCAGTTGCAGAAGCAATCTCTGAATCCTGTCAGCAAGATCTCAGCACACTCTTCCATCACTTTCACCAGATTTTTTTTGTAGGGTTTGATCCTACAGCGAGGCAAGAGCCCACAACTTCTACTGAGTTCAGAAGGAGCCGAGACTGAGCAGAAACACCATGTGGCCAACAGCAGCTCTGGACTGCCGAGCCCCCTTGGGTGTCCTGGGAAGCAATGTGATGTCCGTGCTGGGCTGACAGACCAGGACTTGTGTATTTTACCACCTTTAAGGATAAGGACTCTTAAAAGTGTCTTTTTTTCATTAATGCTGAATTTGGCACTGATTGTCTTAACAAGACTGTTATTGACTTCTGTGAGCACACGTCAGACACACATCTCAGTTTTGCAGGACTGACTAGTCACCAGAGAGAATCTGGCCACATAGAGCATCAGGTCCACTACTAAGACTGATCAAACTTTACAAACATAATGAATTTTTTCCCATTCTATGTTCATAATGCATAAGGAATTAAGGTTAACCACACATCTAGAAAGCTATCTAAAATGAATGTTGTAACTTGGAAATTCTTATAGCATTGCAAATAAATGTGAATCTCTCAGCTCACCTGAGCCTCTCTAGACTCATCTATTGCTAATATCCAGACATGAGCCTGGCCATGGATTTGACCCAGCTGCCACAGCTGGCCACAGAGAGATATCAGCTGCCTGTAAGGCTCTGGTGTGTGCTAAAGCCTCACTTATGCAGTATGTGTGGGCTGACCAAGGCAGGATGAATGCCCCTCCATCCAGAGGTGGCTCTCCCCAACAAGAAGCAGCATTATGCAATGCTGAGCATCATCAAACAGCAAACTCCAGACCAAAGAGTTTTCCACGCAAAAGACACCCCAAATGCTGTCACTCCCTGCCAGCTAGCACACGTTTTCCTATGGCAAAAAGGGAAGAAAGAACTGAAAAACTGTCACAGCATCCAGTGTCCACATTTTCACATAAATTAAGGTGGAAAGCAGGCACTTGTGTCCCAAGATGCACTTTATGAAAACACTGAGAAGAGGGGAGCAGCAATGAGTGAGTGGTACACAGCAGCACTTCAATAGTGAACACTGCCTTTTGCTCCCTGCCCAGGGCTAAATCCCTGCAAACATGAAGCAGAAATTTGCCTGAAGGTAAAATCACAGCCCTACACTCAAGGTGTTTATTGTCAAGTGCAAAGACTACACCAATGATGGGAACTTCCCAAGATCCAGCTCCAGGCTCACAGCCCATGCAGCCTAGAGCACTTTGGCAAATAAACCAGTTTCAGAAATCACTGCTTGAATCCTCTATCACACAGAGCTCTGTACGTGTTATAGCATTAAACAGTAACACCATGATCACAGATAATCCCTTGGGTTTTCAAACACACTCATAACGCTAAAAACCACATTTATTTTAATAGGACTCTGTCAATTCCACTCTATGCTGTAAACAGATTTATTTTTTCTATATTCCTTATGAAAACTTGAGGGAACTAGGAATGCAAAACAGTGGTCATTAACTTGACTTGTCACCTTTGGGCCACAAAACGAGTTTGTTTCGTTTCAGTTCGCTTGTGGCCAGTTTAACTTTCGGGCTAACAGGGCTGCAATGCTCAGAGGGCTTCATGCACTGCAGGGTGATGCTTATTGGACCAAAAGCCGATGGTTTTCGTTTGCCACTTTCAACTATTGAAAGAGTCACTTCATTCAGGGTTTAAAACATCTAGTCTAACCGCACAAAATGCTCCGGTCTGAACTGAAGCCGGCAGTGCCCCCGCTAAGCACTTAGAGCCTAAAAACTGTTCGGAGCTTGGTCTTTCTGGCATTCGTTTTCCAGAATCTGAGACACACCGGCTCGGGCATGCCGCTCCAAGGCAACGCGGGCGTACATACAGAAGGGCGACACAAACTTAAAAGAAGCTGCTCATTTCGGAAAACCCGAGGACAGAAAGCAAATAAAAAAATAAAAACACCTAAAAGCACTCAGCAGCCCAGCCCTTCAGACGACCCTTGCCATCCCCGCCGCGGTGCGGGAGCGAGCCCCCCGCACCGCCTTGCGCCGAGGATGATAAAGCAAATCGGTGGCCCCGGGCGCGTCTCCGCGGGGCAGGCTCTGGGCAGCCCCCTCCCCCCCCCCCCCCCCGGGGACGCGCCCCCGGGGCAGCCCCGCTCCGCGCTCCGCGGGGACAGCGCGCCCGCGTACTCACACGAAGGCGTGATAGAGCAGCGCCCAGCCGCGGGGTCGCTCCAGGGCGTCGTAGATCAAAGTTTGGATGCGGCGGTACTTGGCGTGGTTCCGCTTCACCGGGCGGCTCAGGGGGGTCTTGGCCAGCAGCCCCAGCCCCGGCGGGCTCCGCTTGCCGCCCTCCTCCTTCCCGCCGCCCTCCAGCAGCAGCGTCCCGTCGCGGTCGGTGCCGGTGCCGAGGGCCAGCGAGCCCTGCTCGGGGTCGCCAACGCCGCCCGCCGCCGCCCGCCGCCCCGCCGCCGCCGCCGCCGCCGCCGCCCCGCCGGCCGCGCTACCGCCCGCCGCGCCGCGCCGCGCCTTCAGCCCCATGGTGGCCGCCGGGCCCCGGAGGCGAGCTGCAGATCGGCGGCGGCAGCCCCGGGAGCCCCAAGGCCATGATCCGAGCTCCCCGCCCCTCCCCCCCCCCCCCAAGATTTCTTTATATATTTATATATATATATGCATATATATATAGATAGATAGATAGATGGAGGGGGGGGGGGGGAAAGGTGGGGTGGGGGGAGGCAGTCACATCCCCGTCAGGTCATCCTCGCCGGCGGGCAGCGGGGAGGCAGGAACGCGGCGGGCACCTGGGCCGGCGCAAGGGAGGGAAATCATCGCGGAGTTTATTTACCAGCCCGATGCCCGAGCCCCTTCCTTCCCCCCCCCCCCCAACCCCCCACCCCCCCCCCCCGCCTCCTCTTCCTCCTCCTCCCAGCTCCTGCCTCCCCCCCCCCAAGCCCTCACGTTAGGGAGTGGCCCATTGTATGCAGCCAGCAAATAGCCGGGCGCCCGCCCCCCACTCCCCCAGCCCCGGGTGTCTAGTCATCCACAGTGCGTGGGGCACCGGAGCCGGCCCTCAGCCACGGCGTTGCCCCCCCCCCCCCCCCCCCCCTTCCCCGGTCGCCAGCCCCCAGCAGCCGCCGCCGGCGCCGAGCGGGGAGATCCCGGCAGCCGGCGGAAGGGGAGACCCCGTTCGACACCCGGGGATCCCCCTGCAGCATCACAGCCCCCCTCCCCCGCTGCGGCTGGAGAGGAGGGAGGGGAGGGGGAGGGCATCCCCGGCCCCCGGCGGGGGGCTGCTTTCACCGCCGGAGCAGGAAGGAGAGGAGGATGGGGATGAAGGATGCCGGGAGAGGCGGCGGGTGGGCGGCTGGAGGCGCTGCCGGCCGAGGCGGCTCGATCCGAGCCGAACCGATCCGAGCCGAACCGATCCGAGCCGAACCGATCCGAACCGAACCGAGCCGAACCGAGCCGAACCGAGCCGAGCTGAACCGGGGCCTCCGCCCGCGGAGGGAGAGGGGCTTGGGAGGCAGCACACCCGGGCATCCCCCCCAGCCCCGCCGGGGAGCCGCTTTTTTGCACGGGTTTCTTGCGGGAGATGCTGCTTCTGCTTCTGCCCCAGCCCGGGCTGCGGCCCCCTCGGGTGGCTCCTCCAGGGAGCAGCGATGGGGCCCAAACCCAGCTGCAGCCCCGAAGGGGTCTGCCCCCACCCGTCGGACCTAAGAGCAAACCCCCCCTCTCCGCTTTAGCATGTGTGCCAGCACCCCAGTCCAGACTCGTGCCTAAACGCTGAAGGGATGGGGTTGACAGCTCTGTACCCTTTTCCTTTCAGTTTCTTGGCTGCAAGGAAGATGAGGAGAGCCAGCTTTTGTGTGCCCTACACCCTTGGTGCCCTCGGATTTCTGCTACAGCACACTCAAAATGTCCCCTCTCCTTTTAGAGCTGCTCTTCAGTAAAAACCTGCTTGTGGGGCAGACCATTTGCACAACTACACCTTGGGAGGACACAAAGGGTCTAATTAAGCCTTTCTTTCTTGCCAGACAATATTTTTTTTTTTTTTTTTAAAAAAAAAAGCCATACAGATTTCTGGTTTTCATGGGAGGTCCTCCTCCTCCAGATGAGGGAGTTTTTCTGGTATCTCCTGAAGAGATACCAAGACACCCAAGAACCCTTACAGACTCATAAGAGAAGTAGGTTTGCCACCTACTCTAGTTGCTCCCGTTCCATTCCCCAAGGGATTTATGACCTGAGGAGTGCTTCTCCTGTTTCACATACCAGGAAGGGTAACAGTGGAAAGGGAACTCCTGGAGATGATTTTTGGATCCACCACAGGGCCACAGAGGCCATACCACTTCAGACCAGACTATAGGCCACTATTGGAGATGTTCCAGGTCACTCAAAAATGACACTTCTGTCACTGCATTGCTAGGTGAAAGAAGGGCTGTTACCCCTCCAATATTTGACCTTCTGAGGGTCCAAACTGAGAAAATTCTGCGCCAAGGAAGAAAAAAACACTTCTGCCTTCAGCTCTGCAAGCTCCAGAATTAACAAGTCTCAGTCACCATTTGATTTGAACCTTGGCAACCCCCAAGGGATTTGTCCACAAGCAGATGTGAGCAGACAGCGCGGTATCTCACCTACACGGCTACGGCGTCAGCAGCCGGTGTCAGGTTAGCCGAGATCTCCATGACACTATCAGCAGGAACTGCCTGGCCCGAGCGCGGCACTGGGAACGTGAGCGTTCTGCTCCCCGCTCAGCTAACATCTATCAGCATCATTTGAATGTCATTTATAGCTGTATTCCCAAGGAGGGCTGTGGGAGGCTAGGAAGTTTTGATAACTAGGCCATTTATCTCTCTCCAGCTCTTGTTCTACCTCAGTACAATAGTGATGATACTTCCCAATATCTCAGGGGAGCTATAAGCATTAGCGAGGATGTATGGGGCACTGAGAATAGAGCACTTACTTCAGATAACACCCTATGCCTTAACCTTCATCCCAGCATCACATAGGAAGAGGTGGGAGGAGAGCAGGGGAGGAAAGAAAATTTATAGCTAACCAATTCATCACAGATTTGAACCACAATAGTAAACGTTCAAACCGAAATGGGGATGGTAAATAATTTTCACAAGGTGTGGGGCGGGCGGGGGGGGGGGGGGGGGGGGGGGGAGGGGAGGGGGAAAAGCAGTAAATTATTTTCACTTGCAAAGGGTTGTACCAATGTCAAATAGCAATAGGTGATTGATAGGCAGGCACAGCAGCTTGTTTGGCTTTTATAGCCCTTACACTAGGGATACAAGACTTTTCAGTATCAATTTCATGTTGTTTTTTTTTCAGTTGCATCCTCCAAAAGGCAAGCTTTTGGGACATTTTCAGATCTCAAATCACCCCCATACAAACCACCTTTTAAGACACAACAGGAAAGAGTTTCCATCTCCTCTCTAAATTTAAAATCCTATCATTCAGTGTCGGGAATTCTCCTCCTCCATGCTCCATCTGGGATAACTATTGCACAGATGCAGATGTACTGGCTGGGAAGCAGTGGAATGCAAGGCAAGTTAGCTAAAGTCTTCTAAATCAGTGCAAGGAGACCCAGCAGTTTTGAGGGAATCTGAATCAGACCCTAATAGTGGTGCTACAGCACCTGGTTGGCAGCACTGCTGCTCGGGACCCCAATGCTCTTGCACACCTGCTGGCAAAGCTCCTGCTGACGTCGAAGGGAGTTTGGCCAGATGGAGCACTCCGGGCTATGATTTGGCTTGATGAGCAATTACGCTCCATTACTATTATTTATGATGTGCTGCTGGCAGCACCCAGCGTGCACAGGTTTGATATCCACCTCCTTGGCTGTCACTGGAGATCTCTATAATCAAAAGCAAGTGCTTCTGCCCAGCTGGAGTTTGCAGCCAGGAGGCTGTAACAGGCTCTGCTGAGAGCGTGCAGAGGGACTGGTGATAAACATCTCCCAGTAGGCTATGCTGGCCCTGGTCAAACAGAAAACTGGTTCAACTGGGGAGGTTATAGTCTAAAGTCATAGGAAAACAGGAAGAGATTATTTCTGTTGGTCAAGATAATATGGCTTTACCTTGGCTTATTCATAGATCAGCTGGATTCTTGTGAATGACAAAGCAAGGAGTGCTTGGTAAACCACACAAAAGCAGAGTGTTTTAGTAGAGACACATGAATGTTTCATCTGGAACATCTGGATCATGTTTACATGAAGGAAAACTGCAAATGGAAAACCAGTTAGTCTGCAAAAGACTTCGGGAGCAAAACAGACAAACAGCTGTTCATGAACTTCAGTGGCAGAGGAATAGAGAGGGTACTTGAAAAAAACAGTCAGGGGGCTATCTAGCAATCAGGAACAGAAAGCAATACTGTCTATAGTGTTAGTGAAACTGTCATTAAAATGTCATGTCCTACTTCAGTACATGCTTTGAGAAAGGTGCTAAAGAACAGAATCACAGGAATCATTTCCTGGAATGAAAGATTTGAAGCTTGAGAACCTATTGACCTAGCAGTCTTATATATAACAAGACCCAGGGCAAGGAGGGTGAAGCTATATAACCACGGAAGTAAGTGGGATCTCAGTTTCGGTGAAAGCACACAAATGGTGTTGAATTTTGTTGCCGTTCTCTTTCTATCCTTCTGCTGGCTCCTCTATCTTATCAAGCAAGCTTTTTGCAGTGCTTCAAGGCTTCTCATTTGTCATTTAGGGTAACAAGATCTAATCCCATTTTTAGATGGTCTCTAACACCAACCTCCACTAAACCTTCGGTAGAAGCTCCATCAAGCACCTTCATGCTCTCTCCTCCAAAACTCCAAAGGCTTTGAGGAGGACTCCATCCACACACAAACCTACCTTATGATCCCTTCAATCATTTTGTTAAAAGTTTCTACTGGGATGCCCACAAAATCTACCAATGTACCTGCGCATAGTCTGGAGGCACCTACTGATGAATGACAAATGAGACAGTGTAAGTACAGACTGCAGCACTGATAGCCCAGGTAATTCAGGTGATAGGAGCAGTTTAGCCATAAAAAAGGGCTGAAGCCCCACAGGGCTGATGTAGAGGAATGTTATCCCAGAGACAGCATTGTGCTGCTGCAGCTACACTGTTAAAATACTCAACATATCTCGTGTACAGTGACAGTGTTCAGCAGCATTGATATGCTCAAGCATTTCCTCTCTCATCTTTGTGTATCCTTGCCCTCCTTCCTCCTTATAGTTTCACATCAAGCTCTTTTTTCTAGGGCTTGTTTCTTACAGCTTAACACTGAGGGAATCTAAGCTGTGGCTATTGCTCCTGTCTGCTAAACTAACACAAAATGAAGCCTAACAGTCAATCAGTGGAACAGCTTAGTCAAGCATGAAACACTTTCAGACTTGGTCTTAGGTCAGAGTTGCAGGTTTGATCTTTATTTTTAAAAGCAATGGCCTAGTTTAAGTAGAAGTTACGGTCTGTGATCTGCAGATGGTCAAAGCATTCAAAATGTCATCTGGCTTCCAGATCTTTGCATTAACTGCATGAAACTGGCTAGGCAGAAGGACACACAAAAGTCCTGTTAGGGAGACTGAAATCTATGTCTGTTCCTTAAATCTGCTGATGGAAGAAGGGTGGAGATGTCCATGAA